TTGTTTATATCTGCTGCTACAGAAAGCTTATCAAGTACGTACAATCCAAAAGAAGAGCGAATGCCAAGGACCTCGTAGCGGTGGCGGATGGAGGAAATGCTGGAACTGTAGAAACGCGAGGCCTGTTAGCAGAAGATAAGGTCCGCTTGGCTGATCTATGGACTACTATTAGTGTTACATTTTTTTTTGCTTAAGGTTCACGCGTTATGTCAAAAGGAAGAACCAGCATTTGAGGCCAAGACCAAATTGGTGAGTTCTGGAATTTAGCGAATGATTATCTATCTTCCCATATACCCGCTTTCCATAGTCACAGTTTTTTTTAAACAGAAATCATATAATCTGGAATACCGAAAATATTATTTGCTAACTATTACTGGTTTGTAATAATTTTGGGTGTAAAGCCCTGCAACCCTCTAATAGTTATTACATCAAAACTAGATTGTCAGAATTTTTAGTATCACCATTCGCGATGGTCCATATAGTAGAATCTTTTTGGACAATATATACAAAACAGATAAGCCGAAGTAAGGAAACTTCACGAGTTTTCTGGCCTTCTAAAACACTGTCTAGTTTCCCATTGCTAAAAGTTTTCACTTGCAGATTAGGAATAAAAAATTGAATTTACAAATCACCTGTGATGCTCGAAAAAGTTTTGAAACGTAAGAAAATTCAGCAGATCCACCATTCTTCGATCTCCCCTCATAATATCGTTACACTGATCATATCAAAAATCAAATTTTGCGTAGAAACACATCTGCTAAATCCTTTTATCTCAGGGAGGTGAATCTGGGCAAACCTTCGAAAATTCCACTCGAAGCGAGGTAGATATCTCGATCATTGAAAACAAACAAATTCTGAAAATCAATTCATTCTTACTTCCGATAAATCATAGTTGACCCACAATTCAGCCGAAACGAGTGTGATGATATTACGAATGATATTATTTTCTAATTTTTCAGAAAGATGATGTGATTGTGTCCGGAGGAACAGATGCAGTGGTAAAGGTGAGACAGTCATCAACCATTTCGCTATACCGCTTTATAAAAGTTTTTCTAGCTCGGAGAAACCGTGGAAGTTATAGAAAGATACATTCCTGTGAGTTAGCATGCTGTTGCTACATTTTTATGTCGATTTATGGAGATTTTCGAACCTTTTAATTTAGGAAGCAGAGTTCGAACAAAGCTCCGATGACACCGGCAGAAGCAAGGTAGGTATTTTAGCCAAAAAGAATCAACACAAAATCGAAGACATTGTCATCTGTACGTTAGAATCACAACTGAACTTGACTATTACTCGACCAAATTTACTAGGTTGGAGAAAAGAATGTAGCTTTCTATGGCAGTGTCAGAAGGGCAAAAACGTATGATGGCGCGTTTGATATGGCTGTTTCATTTATTGGATCAAATGGGAAATATTTGGATATTCCCAAAATCAGACCTCAGCCAAGAAAAATCATGCGCGCCTCCTACTTGGCCAGTGTTCATTCGACTAAAGATCATTTGTCCAGTGCACTTGCTGTAATTGTTCGATATTTGATATAATAGAAAAAACAGTTTCCGAAGATTGCAACTCTTTCCACATATATGTATTTGCGTACTACAAACCCTCGAAAGTACAATCTTGAAAATACCTCTGTATACGCATTAATCGCAAACATATCACACTGAGCACAAAAAAAAACGAGAAAGTGAACAGTTTTTGATTTTTTAGCTTATTTTTGTTTTTCGAGTCCTATCAGCAAAAAAACCCCTTTATGCACGAGCAAGTCTGAGATTCTCTAGATTTCTTGAAGCAACAGCGATTGTAGGGATTCTAGGTGCTATTCTAGGGATGATATCTACGGATTTTGACCTCACAATTTATGTAGATTACGAATTAAGCGAATCTCTCGTAGTCATCTTGTAGATTGCATTATTCTGTCGAACTATGCCCTTCCTACTTTTTGTTTAACTTCTGTATAGTATGGAAAGTGATTACTTTTCTTTCCAGCCATTTACCTTCTATTTTGAACTTATTCTATTAACATAGTACAGGAAGATATGTGTTCAACCACTCATATTATGTACACCATTGGTACACGACTCATTTGTGTGGTATTCCAGGAGAATTATATGGTCGTATCTGGAGGAACAGACGCGGTTGTAAAGGTAAGAGCACCGCTTGGTTAGAAATGTTTCCAAGGTTTTAAAATTGTTTATTTAGCTCGAGAAAACCGCGGAATAGAGAGGGAAATTCCTGTGAGTCAATCTTGTGTTCACCACTTTCTTGAGTTAATACACCTACGTGCTAGTGTTGCTATAGGCATAAAAATAATAGGTGATTGAATGCGACAGGTTTTACAATTGAATCAAGTGATCTTCTAGGCTGAAGAGCGCAATGCCTGGCCAACACTTGGCACGAATTGATTGACCTTGATCGTTTGGACAAGATGGATATAAGATGGATATCGCATGCCCAGACAAATCTGCACAGTGGAAACAGCTACGGTTTCAG